AAAAGTCTTGATTTCTAATCATGATAAGATCGTTTTCAGAGGATCATGCAATCAAGTTTTTTTCTTACATCAGCAAATAGTTTTTTCCTTGTTTTAAGCAGCTCATAATACATTAGATTTGTACTTAACAAAATAAACTAAAATTTTATTAAAATGAATGGATGAATAAGAATCTTATGCAACTTGGAACTTTAAATTTTACTTGAATTTTACTAAGAAAAAAATGTAGATTTAGACTTTAGATTGTAATAATAATAAATCAAAATATTAATAATAAAGGTTAAATAATAATAATAAATTTAAATATTAATAATAGAGGTTAAATAATAATAATAAATTTAAATATTAATAATAAAGGTTAAATAATAATAATAAATTAAAATATTAATAATAGAGGTTAAATAATATTACTACTACTACTAATAAATAAAAATATTAATAATAAAGGTTAAATAATAATAATAATAATAAATTAAAATATTAAGAATCTATATAATAATAATAAATATATAAGAATCTTATGCAACTTGAAACTTTACATTTTACTTGAATTTTACTAAGAAAAAAAATGTAGATTTAGACTTCAGATTGTAGATTTTAGTTCTTAAAGAAAAAATAAGGTTTATTTTTACATGTTTTTTTATTTTATACATATATATAATTTTTGCAGTGTACAGTCTCAAAATAAATGTACAATCTGTATATATAACATACATGTTTTTTGTGTTTTAACCGTCGCCTCTCCACAAGTATTATAATAGGATTCTTTACTTAAAAACCACTCAGCCTTTAAATCATACAAACATATATCTCTTTATAAGGCCAGACATAGTAAAACAAAAATGCATGCACAATCTTTCCTGTCACTCTAATCTGTGCTCGTCTGTGAATTGCGATGTCCTCGGGCTTTGCCTGCTTCTCTGCCGTGAACTTAATGCATGTGATGAGATATCAGTGCCTCCAGAGGTTCAGAAAGCGCCGAACATGTAAACTCTGAAGGAATGTTTCTCGTCTGGGTTGCTCGGTGCGCTGAATTCACTGATCGTGATGAATCGAGGTGACCTTCCTGCAGAAGTGAGCACGAGCCGTCTGGATCAGGACTGCTGGAGGAACACATCTGCACTCGCAGTCCTGTGAGAAACACTGCTCTTCCCTTCAGCAAGCTTTGTGTGAGAGACAGGAACACATCGTGTGTTGTTTATAGAATCCAAATATGTGTCCCTGCAGCACAAAAGCAGTGTTAAGTCGCTGGGGGATATTTGTAGCAATAGCCAACAATACATTGTATGGGTCACAATTATACATTTCTCTTTTATGCCAAAAATCATTAGGATATTAAGT